TTGGAGCAGGCGTGTTGCCCCCGGGGTTTGTGTTCCCTTTTCAACAACACAAGCGGCTCTCATTACCGCCAAGTCCTGTTCTTCGGAGTCGCTGGTTAGAGGAAGGGCGGCCCCAGGTCGGCGGCGGGATGGGGAAGGGGCGACGGCCGAGAAAGGACCGGTCCTCTGCGAGAGCTGAGGTCCCATGCTCGCAGGTTCCCGGGAACAAGACGCATCTGATTAGACTCAGATGCACTCTCCGCAGGAGCGGCCCCCTAGTCCTGTAGTTCGGGGAAGAGCCACACTCAAGGGGCCAAAGAGCCGCATGTGGCTCACGAGCCGCAGTTTGCCGACCACTGGTCTAGACTCTAGGATGAAAGTGCTGCCACACGCAGGCGAGAGCAGGTTCTGTGCCAGTTGCTTGCTTGCTGCCAGCCAGAGCTCGCTCAGGGTTGAAGTAACATTTGCTGGTGAAAACCAGTTCCGTTCTCCCCGGCGGCGGCAGGGCGCCGGGCAACTTACTCAAGCTCGCCAGTCCTCATACTAAAAACAATAGGCTACGATTCTGTCTCCCCACCTCTATCTTGGGCTAAAAATGTGTTCCATTTACTTTTTTAACCAGAAAAAAAATGGAGAAAGGAAAATGCCTAATTGAGAGTTGCTGGCCCCTGTGTGAACACGTGTAGACATTCATCTCTGTAATCAGAATCTGGGCAACGGATGCAGGGATGTTCAGGGAGGTGGGAGGCTTGACAGACATACGTGCGCACACATGCATATGTGTGAATGCGCGTGTGAGTGCATGGATGTGTGACTGCGTGCATATGTGTGCACATGTGTGTAAGTGCATTGTGTGAGTGTGTGTGCATGAGTGTGTGTGCACGCACGTGTTGCGATAGAACGGTTTATCCACGGGGAAAAGAGACCATAGTGTCACCATCTCAGTGTTTTTCCCGAGCTGCCTGGGATCTTGCTGGGGCCACAGGACGGTGCCCTCCAGGCACGGCTGGGAAACGCTGGTCAGAGAACTGAGACAAGCCCTCCCGCAGGCCCCCGGTTTGCGCTGGTGCGGCCCTGTCAGCACCGACCCCGTGAGGGTGAGCGCTGGCTCCTAGGGAGACACCCGGTTTGTCCAGGAGACGCCCGCACATCTCCCCTGGCACGGAAGCGGGTGCAGAGCTTTGCGGGAAATAAGTGGTTTAGTGTGACGATCTCGCCACCAAAGGTCTGTGACTCTAGAATGTTCCTGCAAATACAGCTCATAACAGGGATGGTTTGGGCAGAACCTGAAAGGCCGCTCTGAGCCGCTGCAGCTCTAGGGGACCGAGGCCGCCGGTGCCTGCTCTGCAATGCTCCCCAGCGCCCCCTGTGCGCCAACCCCAGTGTCCACCCCACGGACACCGGGGACCAAGGAGGAGCTCAGGAATCACGGCGCTCGCTGCAAACAGCTTCACACAACTCAGAAAAGGGACAACACGGCTCCTCTTCCCAGGCCTCTGGGAGTGCAGCACCAGGTTGCCATAGCAACGCATCCCGCTCCAAGTCCCCGCTAAGCGGGGCCTTACCTTTGGCCATCTTGTTGAGAACCATGTCGATCAGGATGTAGGTGCCGCTCCTGCCCGCGCCATCGCTGTTGACAGAAGGAGAGAGGTGAGCCACTTCCTCCTGTGCTTGGGGGGGGGGAGGGGAGGGCTCTGAGGGGAAATGGGGGAGGAGGAATCACAGGGTGGGAGGAGGAGGACTCTGAGGGGAAATGGGGGAGGAGGAATCACAGGGTGGGAGGAGGAGGACAAAGAGCAGAAGGAGGAGGAGGAGGAGGAAGAGGAGGGAGAGGAGAGGGGAGGAGGAGAATGAAGAAGAAGAGAAGGAGGGGGAGGAGGAGGAGGGAGAGGATGGAGAAGAGGAGGAGGAGGGGAGGGGAGAGGAGGGGGAGGGGGAGAGGGGGCAGGAAGCAGGAAGCGACGTGGATTAGCCAACGTGCCTGTGTAGATTCGTTCCTCAAAGAGGGGGTAAATGTTGTCTAGAAGAGCGAATAAAGGGTCAGGCAATGCATTTGTGTGCAGGGCGAGTGCCCTGAGCTCTGACACAGCCTCGCGGCAGATGCCGGTCCTGGCATCAGGTGGGGTGGTGGCCCCACCGCACATGACACCGGGGCTCCTGGCAGAGGGGGACAGCCCCTCGTCCTCCTCACATTTCCGCTCACCCCCTCCTCACCCCCAGCAACCATCGGACAATTTACACCCGGACCAGGCGGGAACATGTTTGAATGGTGCCTCACAACAGCACACGGAGGAACATGGGATGCCAGACCCACCCTCTCCTCTCAGGCCACGCGGGACCACTCCGGTCCCAGGCACATGCCACCCTGAGCGGCTTCAAACGCAGGATTTACATGGATATCCTGGCAAAACCAAGGCGACTTTAAGGAAAAGACCTGAGGAGTTCCATGACTAAAGGAGAAATCACGTTCTTGGTCTCGGGTTAGAATGGCAGGATCCCAGGAGTCACCCTGAGCCGGTAGCAAGACCCACTGCGTTTGGCTTTGACGTGTTTCCTCAAACAAATGGTTGAAAAAGCTGCGGCTGGGAAGGTGACTCGTCCCCCTGCACTCCCCCCGGCCTCCCTCCAGGGACCTTCCTGCCGGGTCTGCTCACTTCTCTTCTACACAAACTTCACATGAGTGTGTTAGATCTACCACCAACCCTCCAACCAACCGCTGCCTGGCTCGGGCCACGTGGGTAAAGTGGTCCGTTCTTGGCTTTGAGGAAACCAGATTGTCTCTGCTCTCTTCCTCTCCTCCCAGACCAACAGAGACCCAGACACAGACAGAAAGACACAGAGACACACAGGCTCACACAGACACACACAAACACATGCACAGACCCACACACACAGACCCACACACAGACATACACAGACACACACAGACATACACACACACAGACACATAGACACACAGAGACACACAGACACACACAGACACTCACAGACACACACAGACACTCGCAGAACTGTAACATATGCATTACTAGATGGCTTGGACAACTGGGACACACGAAAATTCCAACATAGAAGCTGGTGATCTCAGAGTCCGCAATGAACTGAGGGCGACTCACTTCCCTGGCTCTCCATCCAGGACCATCCGGGCTCCTTCCCCCTGCTGTCCTGTACTTTGTGCAAGATCATCATTCTTTTGGCTCCTCTGCCCCCTTCTCCCACGCCCTCAGCATGTAATGTTCCAGGCCCAGAGGG